AGGAGATGGTCCGGAGCCCCACAGTAAAGGCAAGACCCGGTGCGGATGCAGCGGGCCCGTTCCTCGGGGTCCAGATGGGCACATCCAAGGTCCATGGGTTCATCTGGTCTTTTTCGGGAGCTTGTGTTGGATTCCCCCGTGCGGAGAGAACCCCGAGCCTTGACTGGTGGTGATGATATGGCATGGGTCCGGAGGACCGACTGCTGCCCTGCTCTTTCCTTGCGGAAAGAGCATTGTTGTTTGTCGATCCGGATAGGCAAGTCAACTAGGGAGCGGAGATCTGGGGGCTCGTCCTTGGTACTAAGTTCAGCTTTGATATTATCATTCAGGCCATGCCAGAAGACCGTGTGCAACGCACGGTCCTCCCAGCCGGCCTCTGTAGCCAGGACCCGGAAGTCTATGGAGTAATCCAAGACTCCATGAGCCCCCTGGTGGATGGTCATAAGCTCCCTAGAAGCTTGGCTCTGATGAGATGGTGGAGAAAAGACCGATCGTAACTCTTCCAGGAATTCTGTGATGGTGGTGCCGATGAGTAATCCACTGGTGTCCGCAGCCTCGGCCCAAGTGAGCGCTTTTCCTCTTAAACGGTTGATGACATAGCTGATTTTCTCTCTGTGAGATAAGTCCAAGGTTGGTGATCGAACACCCGGCGGCACTGCAGCAGAAAAACCCGGCATTTTTCGACATCACCGTCGAAAACGTCTGGTACAGGTATGGGAGGATCTGAGCGGGAACTAGCAGAAGGGGTGGATGCAGAGTGACTGTGTTGAGACAACATAATGGTGGTGAGTTGAGCTACTTGTTGGGTTAATGCGGATATGTCGTGTTGTTATTGCTGCTGCAGTGCCTGAGCCATTCTGTGCATTTGTGCATCGTAGTGGGCCTTAGACGGTGAGCTACTTGCACCGGAGTCAGCAGGGTCCATGTTGGCCAGTTTATTCTGTTAGAATTGCTCGGACACGGAAGTGAGCGAGTAATAATAGATGGACCCAGGTAGCTGACTTCGGTGCAAGTAGTGCCAAATTTATTTACAGTGCAGTGAACAAACAAGAAAACAGGCAGGTGAAGAATGATGGAGAGTAACCAGGTGTCGATCAGCAGTGGAGAAATCAGTTTGTAGGGAGATGGATGGGAGTAGGCCGGGCTGCAGACGCTGGGGTCACTCCTGAGCTGGTCGACGGGGAAGCGGTGGTGACTGAGAAGAGAGTAGACAGTAGATGAATAGTGATGACTGTGCATCGACCTGAATGGTGAAGACTGGAAGGGCAGAGTAGGTCCAGGGTCCGGAGGAGAAGTC